ATCTTTAACAGTTCCATTTGATTCTTCTTATGGTGTGTATTTTCTCTTTCAGATTGTGGAAGAACTTCCTCACCTCCTGGAACTCATTGTCTCTTTTCTTCTGCATTTTTTTGAGTTTGTGGTCTCTTCTCTTGCATCTCTGTTAGTTTTGTCACTATGAATATCCTAAATTCTTTATCTGACACTTCCACCATTTCCATTGTACTATCTGTGGATGATGAAGGGCTGTTCTTTCCCCTTGGGGGAGAGATTATTTTCTTGACTTCCCATATTTCTCCCCATATTTCTATGTTACTTCCTACCTTCTTGGAGTTAATTCTGAGTGTTAGAGGTGTGTGGGAGAGGTGTCCTGCAATTTCTCTGCTCTTCCGTTTCCCTGATCTTCATCCAGCAATCTGCACTAGCAGTTCACTGGGTGTTGGGCCAGAAAGAGGGGTTTGGGGCAGAGGCTTTTTCAGTTAAAGGGGCAGGGCTAGGTCCACCTCAGATGCACATGGATTGTACTTTTACTACTAGTTAAATAAAACATTTGTACTTTTTGCTTCTTCCCTAGCCAGGTCAATGCTTAATAAGGACAGGCCTTTTTTTTTTTTTTTTAGAGAGATTTTTTTGCTGTAAAGTGTGTGAGCTCACCATAGAGACACAGAGAGAAAGTGAGAAATCACCTCCCGAGGGGATGGCCATGCTGCGATTCCTTCTCCTCTATTCTCCTCTTGGGATTTTGGGCATGCACATACACACACACACACACACACACACACACATGCCTGGCATGAATTTCAAGCTGCCGAGTCCGGAGCTCGAACTTTGGTTGGCCATGTGGGAGTCCAGCGATGTTATACCATCTGCTGGTTCATAGTACTTCAAATTTTTTGTCTGTTTGTTTTATTTTTAGAAAGATATTGGCTATAGGACATGTATACATGCTGGAGAGACAGCAATAGAGACAGAAAGAGAGAAATCACTCCCCAGAAGGGATGGCCATGCCACAGTCCCTTCTACAGTCTCTTCTCTGGATCTTGGGCATGCATGCACTCACACCTGGTGTGAGTTTTAAGCTGCCAGGTCCGGGACTCAAACTGCAGTTGACCCTGTAGGAGTCCAGTGACGTAACCATTACGTCATCTGCTGGTCCCAGTACTTTGGATTTTTATAGCATTTGATTTAACAACGTCTTATACCAGATATCATCTTTGAATCTTTCCCTGATCTGATCTCATCTCCACATGTTCTCCAAACAAGATCGGATGCCCCCTCTGTGAACTCTCCAGACTTATTTCTGTCCTAGCTGTAGTGGACAGTCATTATTTGCCTGTTTCTCCCTTGTGTGTGAGCTCCATGAGGGCATGGGCAAGCTTAATCAGTGGGAACGTCCAGTCTCCTGATTTCCCTAGTGCCCAGGGAAGTGTACCAGAGCCAGCCCTATGGGACATCCTCAAATGTCTCTTGAATGGAATTGGAGTTAAATTAGCTGCTATGTAAGCAAGTTGTGACTGGAAGGAGGCTCTGAAATAATTTCCCTAAAGAGATTTACTGTTTGCCTTTGAAATATGTCCTTTAAAAAGAAAAATCGCCAAAGGATATATGCACCTGCCAGAGAGAGTCAGAGAGAGATAGAAAGGGAGGGAGAAAGCGCCCCTGAGTTGGGCACACAGTCCTCTCTCCTCCATTCTTCCATCCTGTCAGGTTTTGGAACGTGCACGCACACACACACGGCATATTTTTCAAGCTGCCAAAGGCCAGGGCTTAAATCATGGTCGATGATGTAGGATCTAGCTCTCTTTAACCGCTAGGCTATGAGACCAACAGTGAAATTTGTCTCTTAGTCTAGATTATCATGGCATTCAGGTCAGTTTGGGGAGGGGGTTTGTATGACTGTTAGTTCTAAATCGGGAGGGGACTTTAAAAAATGTGGGTGAAACTGAAATTAATATGTGCCAACCCATGACATAGTGATTAAGAAGGCTAGATCCCACATGACTGACTATACCATGTAAGTCCTGGACCTGGTGGCTCGAGAAATACACTGGGCATGTGTGTATGCATGCCCAAAATCCCAAAAGGAAGAAGACCTGGAGGAGAAGTGATTGCAGAATGGCCATTCTCTAGGGGGTGGGGGGCTACTTTCAGAAACGTAAATTGAGAATGAGAGAAAAAGGCATCTGAGAGTAATATAGCATTGGATTAAAGAGTAGAAGCTTTGGAGCATGATAGAACTGGGTTTGAATCTTGTCACTGCCACTTAGTAGTTGAGCAACCTTGGATAAGTTACTTGATATCTAAATCTGTTTTTTAATCTGTGAAGTGGGGATAAAAGTAACTGAAAAGTATTGTGAAAGTTAAGTGGAATCTTGCCTGTCAAGTATTGGTTTGTTGAAAAAGTCATGACACTTTTTTTTTTTTTTTGCTATAAGGTGCGTGTGCTCACCAGAGAGACAGAAAGTGAGAAATCACCCCCAGGAGGATAGCCATGCTGCAATCCCCTCTTCTCCAGTCACCTCTTGGAATTTTGGGCACACATGTACATGCACCCAGCGTGAGTTTTAAGGTGCTAGGTCCAGGACTCGAACCATGGTTGACTTGGTGGGAGTCCAGCGATTTAACCATTACACCGTCTGCTGGTCCTAACATTTTTGCATAGAAAAACATGGAAAAATATGTCATGACTTTTCCGACTACCTAATATTTGACAAAGTGACTCACTGTTGTGCACAGTAAATGTTAGGTCCTGTTACTATGGTGACATCCTAGTTTTAGATAACAAAAATTCATGCCTGGATCTGTAGAATCCATGTTTGTCTTGCCATGTTATGGTTGTTAAATTAGTATATGCATAGGTGGATTTGCAAGTGACCGATGAGTAAGTAGAATTAGAAATTCTGTTTTTTGTTTTCCCATAGGAATTCGTGTGCAACCAGAAAAACAAAAACAGGTCCAGGCTACAGTTGAAATTCACTTCCACAGGAGCACATTTCTATAGGTAGATAGGATTATCTATTTATTGAGCAGTTATCAAATGGCAGATTTTTTAAAAGACATGTTATTTTACTTAGACTAAGGCTAAAAAGAGTGAACAATTTGACCAAGTCCCTACAGTAATTGTTAGATAGGAGTTTGTAGGCAATTGTAGGAAAATGGTGGGAATAACTGCTAAGGAATTTGACTTCTCTCTCATTCCAAATCATGTACTCTACCTTCGTATTCTTAGCACGTCTTTCTCAACTCAAGGAACTTTACAAATTCTCAGTGTCTAACAGTTAAGTCAATTCTAGGGGTAAAACCCAAGCACTCAAGCATCACAATTTTTTTTGAAGTTCTCCAAGTGATTTCATTGTTGCAGATTCTAAGAACTACTTGGAACAGAGTAAACATTCATAAAAAGTTTCACTGTGAAAGAATACATCCTTAATGACTCAACTGTTCCATTGTAATTCTTTTCAGCATTATAGTTAACTCAGTTTACTCAGTCTCAGTTTCTCCCATACTCTTACCCAACAATCAGCACAGAATGCTTCTGTGACCGAAGGTGCAGGCCTGCCCCCCCAATATCAAGCAAGCAATCAGCTCTGCAGTAGACAGCAGCCATGTGTCTTCTAATTTAGTTCCTACAATATCTGCCTAGAGAAAGCATCAAGTTAAAGGTGCAAAGAAGTAGTGACCAAGCATGATTATAATAGCAACAATATTAAAATAGGTTGGGAAAATAGGAATGAGTCTACAGCCAAGAGCAAGGAGCAAACTAACAGGTTTTGTGGTGTGTGTGTATATATATATAATTTTTTTGTGATCAAAATATGCTGATGAATTAGTTTTCTGAAACCCTACAATTTTTACCTTTTTTGGAGAGGTTTTTGCTATAGGGTGTGTGCACTCATCAGAAAGACAGAGACAGAGAGACAGAAAGTGAGAAATCACCCCTCGGGGGGGTGGATGGCCACACCACAATCCCTTCTCCTTCATTCTCCTCTCGGGATCTTGGGCATGCACACACATGCGCCCGATGTGAGTTTAAACCACCGGATCCGGGACTTGAACTGCAATCGACTACATGGGAGTCCAGCGAATAGCCATTTACGCAAACTGCTGATCCCCCCCCCCCTTTTTTTTTTTTTTTTTTGAGAGAGAGATTTTTGCTGTAGGGTGCATGTGTTCTCCCGAGAGACAGAGAGACAGAAAACGAGAACTCACTCCCCAGAGGGATGGCCATATTGCTGTCCCTTCTCCTACATTCTCCTCTTGGGATTTTGGGCCCCCATGCACATGCCCCTTTTGTGAGTTTTTTTTTTTTTTTTGAGAGAGAGATTTTTGCTGTAGGGTGCATGTGTTCGCCCGAGAGACAGAGAGACAGAAAGCGAGAACTCGCTCCCCAGAGGGATGGCCATATTGCTGTCCCTTCTCCTCCATTCTCCTCTCGGGATCTTGGGCATGCACGCACATGCGCCCGGCGTGAGTTTTAAGCCACTGGGTCCGGGACACGAACTGCGGTCGACTACGTGGTAATCCAGCAACATTGCCATTACGCTAACTGCTGGTTCCCCACCTGTTGTGAGTTTTAAGCTGCTGGATCCAGGACTTGAATGGAGGGTCAAGTCCATGGGAGCAATGTAACCATTATGCCATCTGCTACTCCCCCAAATTTTTTACTTTTAAATCTCTGTATTTGAACCTCTTAAACACATTCTTAATGTGATGCTTTGTGGTGAACTCTGTATTTTTATGAGAAAATACCCTTGCTATTTATTTTCATTTTAGACTTATACTTAGCAGTTATTGACCAAAATTTTATCGTTTCATGTATAATTATTTTTTACTGAAATCTCTCTCTTTTTTTTCCCCTTAGCCCTGGAAGAAAACGGGACTTTTCTCCTGTTTCTTGGAGTCAGTACTTTGAGTCCATGGAAGATGTCGAGGTGGAGAATGAAACTGGCAAGGATATATCCTTTGCAAAATGGCTGCTTCTTCAGTGAGCTGTAAAGAGACTTGTGGAGTTTCTGAACCGTTCTTTATCCCTGCTGTTCTTTTCATTTTATTCCTTGCCTGTTCTATGTTCAATATGGCAATAAACTCTTACGTTCATACCAGTATCTTTCTTGGCTATAACTGCCAAATGAATGGGGAAGAGATTAAGAATTAGAGTCCTGAAACTAATATATCCCTCAAGGGCCTTGGGAAGCCCTTTATGAGTCAAGTGTGCTGGACTGATTCAGTGTCTAGAAACCAGGGACTATGTCATCTTTAGAGAAAAGGGAGTAATTTTTTTTTTTCACTGAAAAAAATTAACTACACTAGCTCCATGCTTCAAAAATGTGGAGGATCAATAACTCTCAGAAATGGCTGTTTTAGTTTCTCTGAAGTTTGGAAGCCTGCAGTTTTGCGTGTAGCTTTGTGCTACCTAGGTTTTCAAGTCAGTGTTATTATGACTGGGTAATCAAAAACTGCAGTGAGCAAAAGCTTGGATGTGTGATCTTTAACTATTCTTACACTTTTCGAGTGTACAAGAGTGGTTCAGAGGGTCCAGTCCTGCTTCTTCTGCATGGAGGAGGCCATTCTGCCCTTTCCTGGGCTGTGTTCACGGTAAGTTGTTGATACAAGTTGATATTAGCATAGTCATTGTACTTCTGGATAAGTCTGACCAGCTTAACGCTTCTTTCTCTGCTCACTCATACTAGTTGATGCAAGAACGTAAGGGATGGTAGTGGATTCTAAATATTGATCAGAATAGGCTCAAGATAAACTGTTCTTTAAAACAGAGGTTCTTAATTGGGGTGGGCCTGGATTTTTCAAACAGTTTATAAAATTTCATATAGACTTTGTGCATTGGGATGAGAGGCATGGACTTTGTCCCTTGTTAAAAGTCGAGGTCTTGGGACCAGCAGATGGTATAGCAGTTACATTCCTTGTTAAAAGTCAAGGTCTTGGGACCAGCAGATGGTATGGCATTACTGGACTTCCACATGATTGACCGCGGTTTGAGTCCTAGACATGTTGGCTTAAAAAAATCACACCGGGTGTCTGTATGCGCAGGCCCAAGGTCTCAGGAGGAAAATGGAGGAGAAGGGATTGCTGCATGGCTCTCCTTTCTGGGGGGTGATTTCTCACTTCCCCTCTCACTTCTGGGGAGCGATTTCTCACTTCCCCTCTCACTGTGTCTGTCTTTTTGGGGAGCGCACATGCCCTAAGGCAAAAAAACTAAAAAAAAAAAATAGGGGTCTTTATGTTAGTAATTCAAGTAATTGATAAACAGACGTATCATTCCGATGCTTTAGATAATTTTCTTTGTTTCATAGAATCTGCATGGCACTTTGCACATGGAAATGTCTTATTAAATATTTGGAAAATAGTTCTTTCTTTCTTTCTTTCTTTCTTTTTTTTTTTGAAGGATGCTTTATGTTTTCATGATACTTGTGAGCTACTAGGAATTAAACAATATTTGCTTGATGATACCCTGGTCTCAAGAAGGGGATGGAGGTGTGTGTGAACACTGCCTGTTGTAGATATTCTTAATATCTTTGATTCTGGGGTGTGGCAGCACATGTGCAAGGGGAGATAGTGACTTCTGAAATGAAGTCATCTTTTGCGTGTTATCAAGCAGATACACGTACTTCCTCTGCTTACCACTAGGGACCCTGAAGGGCAGAAAATGAGAGCAAGTGTGAGTGTAGCTCGAAATACCTGGAGCCAGAGGGCTGGAGAGTTGAGGACGGCCCTGAACATGGCACTTTGTTCCTGGCAGAAGAGAGGGTTGGGTTAAGTGTGAAAGCACCTGTTTGTCCCTTCTATTAGACCATGAACTCCTTGAGAACAGGGATATTTATGCCTTACTCCTTTTTGTTTCTGTTTCCCAAGTGCCTGAAACAGTTCTTGACACATGGACTCTTATTCAGCAGTCATTAAATGAGTCAGTGAATTGGTCCTTGTGTTGTTTGACGCTGCCTTCTAGGATAAGCTGTATGATTTGCCCACGATGCCAGGCTCTTATGTCTCTAGACCAAGGCTGCCCAATGGGTATATAATGCAAGCCATATAAGTAATTTAAAATTTCCTAGTAGACACATTAAATAGTAACTAGAAACAGGTGGAATTAATTTTAATAATATGTATTTAACCCACTGAATTCAAATTCATCTTAAGAGATACTATAAAATTATTAGTGAGATATTTTTCATTCCTTCTTATATTATCTTTCATAACTAGTGTGTGTGTCATATTTAGAACACACCTCAGTGTCATCCTCAGTAACATGGTTTTAGTCATTTACATCCTTCAAATAGATTGTAAGCCTTTTAGGAGTCAAAGACTGTAGTTTGCTTTGGCCTGGCATACATTATATGTTCAAGGAGCGTTTTGTGAATGAACAAGTAACAGTGAGAGGTGCCTGGTCTTGATGTAGCAGCTGCATGGTTGCCCTAAACCAAAGTCCAAGCCCCTGGAAGTGCCCCCTATGCCATAGCTTGCCTGGCTCTGTTCTGTCTCTGGGCGGCTAATACGCTGGAGAAATGGAAGGAAAGAGACGTGTGACTGGGGAGAGGGGAGAGGCACCATCGTATTGGCATGTCACTTTCACACATCTGCATTGTAACTTCCTAGGGACCATCACTCCAGACTTTCCATTACAGGAAATTTGCAAAAATACAGTCTGCTAATAAGGCAAGCTTTAGTTCAAAGGTAGTTCATAATGGATCATAAGATTTTGTAAAAGGATGACAATTACATACGTAGGCCAGAGGCAGTTCCACCATATCTTTGAAATTCAGAGCAGCAGTCTAGACTAGTGCAAAATCAGAGCTCATGTTACCTATTTGAGTATCCAGGCTCCTTAGGAGGAATCCAGGTAGAGTTAGAACAGACTTTCCCTGAAACAGCTATTGTTTTTGACACTAAGAGAAGAAATCATGAAATAGGAGTGAGATGTGACTTCTAGTCCTGGTTTCCTCAGTACCGGTGTTGTGACCTTGAGGAAACCACTTACGCCTTTATTCTCCACATTTTCTAGAAAATTAATTTTCCAAACCCTTTATGCCTTGGTTCTATCCATTGAATGAGTCATTGTAGCTGCTGTTGTAATCAAGCTGACCCCATATAGTGGGTAATGTGTATGGCTTCTGTAGTCCTTGGCCATCAGCAGGGGCTGGGGATAATAGACTGGCCTCGTTGCTGTGAGAGAAACGCAGCACAGAAGCTGGTTCGGCTGAGCCAGAGGAGGCAAAGAGAGAGCTGTGGGAGCTCACAGCACCTGCAACCTCAGCAGGCAACAGTCTGCCAGACTTCAGTTGTTTTCAGCTTTCCCCTGAAGGACAGGGACCAACCAAGTGTGAACTGATGGAACCAAGAATTGAGTTTCACGTGTTCACTGATTCCAATTTCTTCTTCTAGTTAATCCAATTCACTTTGGTAAATATTTGCCGAGTGCATTATGTATTTCAAGCTTTGTGTTGAATTGCTAAGGGCCAAAAAATGAGAGTTCACTCTTTAATAAGATCAACCAAGGGGCCAGCAGGTGGTGTGGTGGCTGAGGCACTGGATGCCACGTGATGGGCCACAGTTTGAGTCCTGATACCTGGCGGCTTGCTTTCTCACTTTCCTTCTCTCTCTGGTGAATTAAAATAATAATAATAATAATAATAAATAAGATTAAATAAACAATTCTTTAAAAAAAAAGATCAGCCAATCAGCAGGTATTTATTAAACCCATGGTGTACCAGGCGTTATACTAGGTACAATAGATATAATGGAAAATTAAACATATATCCTGTCCTTCTGTTCTTATGTTTAAGTCTAACGGGAAAGATAGGAAAAATGGAGATGGTTACATTTATACGAGTAATACAACAAACATTTTTAAAAACTTTTTTATGTCAGAGCACATGTGTATGTGCACAACAGGGAGCAGGAAGGATAGAATACTCCCAATAAAACCAAGTCACATTGCAGTCCTTTTTCCTGCAATTCTCCATCCCATCACAGCGCTGGCAATAGGTACTCACATCCGGCATGGTTTTCAGACCACCAGGGCCAGGACTTGAGCCCTGCTTGGTCATGTGGGATCTGACCTCCTCAGCATAGCATTTAATCACCGCACTATGGTTACTTAGGATTTTATATCTATTCTATAGATGAGATTGATTTAGTTTTTCTGTCCTCATAAATAACCTGGGAGCTTGAAATGATACTGTTCTAAACATAGTGAAAAAGTTGGGGCCAACAGATGGCATAGTGGTTAAGGAAAAATGGCTGACCCCATTTTAAGAAATCCTTATCGCAGGCTGGGTTTTTAACGTCAAGCAGCTTTATCCAGAATTTAGTTTCTCAGTTTGCAAAATGGGTATAATACCATATACTTAAATCTTTAGAGTGTTATGCTAATTAGACAAAAGATGTAAGGTTTTTGGTAAACACTCAGCTGTTAGATGAGTCGACGGCATATATATGTATAGGATACACAGGGAACACACAGGAGGGATGATTAACGTGGGTTGGATGAGGAGACTATGAGGAAAGTTTCCTAAGAGAGAAGGCATCTAAACGGAATTTTAAAGACAGAATAGAAATTAGATTAGTGGAGGATATTTTCCAAGAAGAGGTAAGCACAAAGGCATCAAAGACTGTGACAGTGAAGTTTTAGAAATTGTAAGTAATTTTGGTTATAAGTATTTTAGTTTGAGTTTAAAGCAGTGAGGGTGGGGAACAGGGTCTTAATTGGGGTGGGCCTGGATTTTTCAAACAGTTTATAAAATTTCGTATAGACTTTGTGCATTGGGATGAGAGGCATGGACTTTGTTCCTTGTTAAAAGTCAAGGTCTTGGGACCAGCAGATGGTATGGCATTACTGGACTTCCACATGATTGACCGCGGTTTGAGTCCTAGACATGTTGGCTTAAAAAAATCACACCGGGTGTCTGTATGTGCAGGCCCAAGGTCTCAGGAGGAAAATGGAGGAGAAGGGATTGCTGCATGGCTCTCCCTTCTGGGGAGCGATTTCTCACTTCCCCTCTCACTGTGTCTGTCTTTTTGGGGAGCGCACATGCCCTAAGGCAAAAAAACTAAAAAAAACAAAAGAAAAAACAGACGTATCATTCCGATGCTTTAGATAATTTTCTTTGTTTCATAGAATCTGCATGGCACTTTGCACATGGAAATGTCTTATTAAATATTTGGAAAATAGTTCTTTCTTTCTTTCTTTCTTTCTTTTTTTTTGAAGGATGCTTTATGTTTTCATGATACTTGTGAGCTACTAGGAATTAAACAATATTTGCTTGATGATACCCTGGTCTCAAGAAGGGGATGGAGGTGTGTGTGAACACTGCCTGTTGTAGATATTCTTAATATCTTTGATTCTGGGGTGTGGCAGCACATGTGCAAGGGGAGATAGTGACTTCTGAAATGAAGTCATCTTTTGCGTGTTATCAAGCAGATACACGTACTTCCTCTGCTTACCACTAGGGACCCTGAAGGGCAGAAAATGAGAGCAAGCATGAGTGTAGCTCGAAATACCTGGAGCCAGAGGGCTGGAGAGTTGAGGACGGCCCTGAACATGGCACTTTGTTCCTGGCAGAAGGGAGGGTTGGGTTAAGTGTGAAAGCACCTGTTTGTCCCTTCTATTAGACCATGAACTCCTTGAGAACAGGGATATTTATGCCTTACTCCTTTTTGTTTCTGTTTCCCAAGTGCCTGAAACAGTTCTTGACACATGGACTCTTATTCAGCAGTCATTAAATGAGTCAGTGAATTGGTCCTTGTGTTGTTTGACGCTGCCTTCTAGGATAAGCTGTATGATTTGCCCACGATGCCAGGCTCTTATGTCTCTAGACCAAGGCTGCCCAATGGGTATATAATGCAAGCCATATAAGTAATTTAAAATTTCCTAGTAGACACATTAAATAGTAACTAGAAACAGGTGGAATTAATTTTAATAATATGTATTTAACCCACTGAATTCAAATTCATCTTAAGAGATACTATAAAATTATTAGTGAGATATTTTTCATTCCTTCTTATATTATCTTTCATAACTAGTGTGTGTGTCATATTTAGAACACACCTCAGTGTCATCCTCAGTAACATGGTTTTAGTCATTTACATCCTTCAAATAGATTGTAAGCCTTTTAGGAGTCAAAGACTGTAGTTTGCTTTGGCCTGGCATACATTATATGTTCAAGGAGCGTTTTGTGAATGAACAAGTAACAGTGAGAGGTGCCTGGTCTTGATGTAGCAGCTGCATGGTTGCCCTAAACCAAAGTCCAAGCCCCTGGAAGTGCCCCCTATGCCATAGCTTGCCTGGCTCTGTTCTGTCTCTGGGCGGCTAATACGCTGGAGAAATGGAAGGAAAGAGACGTGTGACTGGGGAGAGGGGAGAGGCACCATCGTATTGGCATGTCACTTTCACACATCTGCATTGTAACTTCCTAGGGACCATCACTCCAGACTTTCCATTACAGGAAATTTGCAAAAATACAGTCTGCTAATAAGGCAAGCTTTAGTTCAAAGGTAGTTATAATGGATCATAAGATTTTGTAAAAGGATGACAATTACATACGTAGGCCAGAGGCAGTTCCACCATATCTTTGAATTATGGATCATAAGATTTTGTAAAAGGATGATAATTACATACATAGGCCAGAGGCAGTTCCACCATATCTTTGAAATTCAGAGCAGCAGTCTAGACTAGTGCAAAATCAGAGCTCATGTTACCTATTTGAGTATCCAGGCTCCTTAGGAGGAATCCAGGTAGAGTTAGAACAGACTTTCCCTGAAACAGCTATTGTTTTTGACACTAAGAGAAGAAATCATGAAATAGGAGTGAGATGTGACTTCTAGTCCTGGTTTCCTCAGTACCGGTGTTGTGACCTTGAGGAAACCACTTACGCCTTTATTCTCCACATTTTCTAGAAAATTAATTTTCCAAACCCTTTATGCCTTGGTTCTATCCATTGAATGAGTCATTGTAGCTGCTGTTGTAATCAAGCTGACCCCATATAGTGGGTAATGTGTATGGCTTCTGTAGTCCTTGGCCATCAGCAGGGGCTGGGGATAATAGACTGGCCTCGTTGCTGTGAGAGAAACGCAGCACAGAAGCTGGTTCGGCTGAGCCAGAGGAGGCAAAGAGAGAGCTGTGGGAGCTCACAGCACCTGCAACCTCAGCAGGCAAGAGTCTGCCAGACTTCAGTTGTTTTCAGCTTTCCCCTGAAGGACAGGGACCAACCAAGTGTGAACTGATGGAACCAAGAATTGAGTTTCACGTGTTCACTGATTCCAATTTCTTCTTCTAGTTAATCCAATTCACTTTGGTAAATATTTGCCGAGTGCATTATGTATTTCAAGCTTTGTGTTGAATTGCTAAGGGCCAAAAAATGAGAGTTCACTCTTTAATAAGATCAACCAAGGGGCCAGCAGGTGGTGTGGTGGCTGAGGCACTGGATGCCACGTGATGGGCCACAGTTTGAGTCCTGATACCTGGCGGCTTGCTTTCTCACTTTCCTTCTCTCTCTGGTGAATTAAAATAATAATAATAATAATAATAAATAAGATTAAATAAACAATTCTTTTAAAAAAAAGATCAGCCAATCAGCAGGTATTTATTAAACCCATGGTGTACCAGGCGTTATACTAGGTACAATAGATATAATGGAAAATTAAACATATATCCTGTCCTTCTGTTCTTATGTGTAAGTCTAACGGGAAAGATAGGAAAATGGAGATGGTTACATTTATACGAGTAATACAACAAACATTTTTAAAAACTTTTTTATGTCAGAGCACATGTGTATGTGCACAACAGGGAGCAGGAAGGATAGAATACTCCCAATAAAACCAAGTCACATTGCAGTCCTTTTTCCTGCAATTCTCCATCCCATCACAGCGCTGGCAATAGGTACTCACATCCGGCATGGTTTTCAGACCACCAGGGCCAGGACTTGAGCCCTGCTTGGTCATGTGGGATCTGACCTCCTCAGCATAGCATTTAATCACCGCACTATGGTTACTTAGGATTTTATATCTATTCTATAGATGAGATTGATTTAGTTTTTCTGTCCTCATAAATAACCTGGGAGCTTGAAATGATACTGTTCTAAACATAGTGAAAAAGTTGGGGCCAACAGATGGCATAGTGGTTAAGGAAAAATGGCTGACCCCATTTTAAGAAATCCTTATCGCAGGCTGGGTTTTTAACGTCAAGCAGCTTTATCCAGAATTTAGTTTCTCAGTTTGCAAAATGGGTATAATACCATATACTTAAATCTTTAGAGTGTTATGCTAATTAGACAAAAGATGTAAGGTTTTTGGTAAACACTCAGCTGTTAGATGAGTCGACAGCATATATATGTATAGGATACATAGGGAACACACAGGAGGGATGATTAACGTGGGTTGGATGAGGAGACTATGAGGAAAGTTTCCTAAGAGAGAAGGCATCTAAACGGAATTTTAAAGACAGAATAGAAATTAGATTAGTGGAGGATATTTTCCAAGAAGAGGTAAGCACAAAGGCATCAAAGACTGTGACAGTGAAGTTTTAGAAATTGTAAGTAATTTTGGTTATAAGTATTTTAGTTTGAGTTTAAAGCTGTGAGGGTGGGGAACAGGGAGGTGACTAGAAAGATCACATGGGCAAAATTATGGGAGGACCTTATATATCTAGCTAGAGAATTATACCTTTTGTTACCCTGGAGTTCAGAGTAATAGTAGAGGGAGATTTAAAAAAAAATTTAATTTAAAAAATTATTTTATTTTATTGATTTATTTTAATTTAACCGGAGAGGGACAGAGTGAGGGAGTGAGCAAGAGAGAGAGAAGGGGGAATTTGAGAAAGCAAGTCGCCAGGTCCGGGACTCGAACCATGGTTGGCCATGTGGGAATCCAGCGCCCTTAACCACCATGCCACAGCTGGCCCAGAGGGAACTATTTCTAAACATAGTTCAAGACTTCCCCACCAGGGGACCAGCAGTTAGCGTAATGGCTATGTCGCTGGACTCCCACGTAGTCGACCGCGGTTTGAGTCCCAGACCCGG